GTGAAAAAGACTGGAGAAGAAAACCAAGAACCAAAATTGTCCGCGCTTCCGATTCTATTTTATCTACTGAATCTTCCGAAGATTTCTTGGATTTGAACAAGAGAACTAATCCTGAAATTGGGAAAATTAGTGCATCTGGTCGTGCTCTTGTTGCTAAATAATTAATTATCCTTATTTGGTTCTAAAGTAATGTTTTCATACTGGTCAAGTAAATTATTATAGCATTCTATAATTTCCAAATTCGATTAAATACTGGAAAAAATGCCTTTTCGAGTTCTTGCATGAATTGCCATATTCCTAAGGCTCATGCAGATTGCGCACTTTTTTAAGTCCTTATATGTAATAAAAAGCAAAAATGTAAGTAAAATGACGTGTGGACACAAGTGTACATGTTGCAACATCTACGCAGCTCGGTATCATTTTCCACTCAAAGTGATGTTGGTGTTAACCTAATATGCTATCAGAAAATTATCTAACCTAATAAAAATAATTACATACTTGACGAATACTGCATAGGGATAGATCAACTAGTCCCTTTTTGTTTATCCGATTGGACGTATCTCTCGCATGAGAGCCATTAATAAAAAGTTGATTAAGGAATTGATTTTTATCTGATGATGATAATTTTCTCGAATTAGGTGTAAGTCATGGTTTTAAGAGAATGCGTTTTCCGGTGGACATAACATCAATATTCATTGATTACAATATATAGTATACGCATAGCATTTTACATCAGATTAAAAATAAAACAAACTAAGCCTGAAATTAATGAAATTTTAATAGTTAAAATATTTTTTGTTAGCCTGTTTGACGTACACAGTATATAATAATTGGATTACTCAAAACATTATATTTATTACTGATTAAATTAAAAATATTCTTCCAATTATTAATTTGACAATATAAACTAGACCATACTCTAATACTTTGGTTCTTCCCTTATTTGATACTAGACATTTAATTTAGCAATTTACAGTATATAATAATTTTTTTTCAATTCTAGAGTTTAAAAAATGAAATCAGGATGATTACTGTAAAAAAGGCGATCTCATTTTTTCAAGAAATCCATAAAGTACTGTACGTATACCGATTTTTTTAAAAAATCATGGCCTTTTAAATAGGTGCAGAAATAAACTCTGAATTTATTGTCTGATTATGAAATATATTAATCCTTATTTCACAATTAATAAATAAACCACTTTTTTTTTTACTCTTATATTATGAAATAATTCCTCCTATTAACCATTTATTTTGAGCGAATTAAATTTTATTTCTTGATGAACATAGGATGTCATATTATTTTGAAAATGTTTTTTTAACCCATCCCTTAATCGTCTAAGTACTGCAAGGAATTCAATTCAATTATCAGATCATACTACGTATTCTTGGCTCGGTTTTTAGCTAGTCTAGTATTTTCCGAGAATTTATGTGGGAAATGACAAATTCTTTTTTGGTAGGTATTAATTGTACAAAATAATCTTCTTGTACGATACAACAAAATAAAAAGAAATTTCGCTTTGCCACGCTAATCTTTTACAAGTATTTGATAATTCATCAATTTAATAGGTTGGCGATGGTCGTCTGGAGAACATTAGAATAATCGCATCAATAGATCAAAAACTTCTGCTATCTTGTCGAAAGTATTTTTCACCTTCAATTGTTTGAGTTATAGAAATAACAAATACTCATTTTGTTTCTCACATCTAGAGTCATTTAATGTTTGGCCATCACCATATTCCAAACACAAACTTCAAAAGCACTTCCTATCCGCGACGATCTTATCAATAAAATGTCTCGAGGTTTATTGAGAAAATTGTCTGTCTATTAATTCTTACGATCTCAAGAGATTCTAAATATAAGATAACACGTACTTTCAGATTATTAGATATATAAGTATATATAAATACCAGACAAAATGATACCTTGAATGAATATATATACACTATATATACTGTTTATTCGTAATATCGTATAAAGATTTTGCTACAAGATGTCAAACCTATTTATATCACATTAATGAATATGGTAACTATTAATTTAAAAAAAATTTTATGTATATAGTGGTGGTCAAAAAAAAAAAAAAAAAAAAAAAAGAATAGAATAGAATAAAAATCGAATCACCTGAACGTAAAAACTAAAATTGTAATATCTCATGAGATAAAAGTTTTGATGTTACAAAATAAATTTATTGGTTCATCACATAAGTTCTTTTAACAATAAAAAGATTTTATATACTAATAACAACAATTTTTTTTCATTATTATAGGTCATATATACGATGTATTTTTTGCTCTAATTACATTATTTTATGGTTGCATGGTAGCAATTTAGTTCATAACTAAATCATCAATCTCAATCAATTTTTTGAATTACTTCCCACAATTGATTTTATGTTCTAATAGGTGTTTCAAGATTTCTTAAACGATGTTCCATCTCATTCCACAAATGCTCAATCAGATTTAAATCATGAGATTGAACTGGTAATCAAGCACATTGATGCCTTTTTTCTTTGAACTATTGGTTTATTGCATGAGCTATATGTTTTAGATCATTATTCTGTTGGTAAATGATCTCTATTAATTCTATGCAATTAATAGTTACTAAAAGGTCGTTCTCTAATATTTATCTGTATGGATCACAATCCATCTTTCTGTAAATATGACACACATTATCAATATCATTAAATGAGAAGAATTATATTATAATATTGCAATCTCTAAACTTGACCATAGGTTTGATATAGTGATTTTATAATGGTTCCTTGGGTCATTTCTAACTACTTTAGCAGGCTGATTGGTGAGTCTGTCACTAATGACCAAAAAATCGCGTAACCTGTGGATAGAAGAGTCCGTCCTTCTATCACACACACACAAAACACAAAAATAAAGGCAGAGGTGTAAAAAGATTTAGGCGAGTCTCAAGGTAGTTTTCCCTAAAACTACTTATAACTTCACGGTTATAACAATCTATCCAAAATATTCATCTTAAGATTCGTCATTTTATTAAGTCATTGAAAGAAGTTATATTTATATATTTTTACACATAGGGCTATTATATAATCACTATGGCTTTCTAGTATTATGTCATGCATAAATTGCTTCGTGATCAGCTAATTTTCTATTACCTCAGCTCATAACTTTTACCTTTTTGACACGAATGGATTGTTCGCGCATTCTTCTATCTTGCAAGGGGTATGGTGATAGTCGGCAATTGATTGTTTCGCGTAAGCTTCGGTCGTGTCACGATCGTCTGTCACGTGACCACAGCGAAAATTCTGAACTCGGTCTGACTTCTTTGACCTTTAATACTACGTATATTCATGGTTATCTAAATAAAAATCATTAATTTTGATTCATCAGATCAAATAGTCTTATCCCAGTCTTTAATTATCTAAAATCAATGCTTCTTTGCACGTGCATATCAGCGTTTTTTAAGATATGGTTTTTTACACTCAACTCATTTCAAAGTAAAATTCCTTTTATTGTACTATAATAAAATATATTTTTTTTCAATTATCAAATTTTTTTGAATAATAACTATATTAGTAAATTCTCTTGTTACAATAAATCGTAATACTTTTCATCCATAATGACCAGTAAGAAATTCATGGACCTCCAGATTTCAGTTTATCATTAAAGACACCGTTTCATATTTACATTGCCTGATTCCAATAGGCATAGATTGTAATATATTTTCTCAAGAGGTTATGAATCATGAAGAATATTCTTCCTTGAAGAAAATATAAATCTCGGATCTTTTTTCGGGTGACAGCAAATCATAATGGTTTAAAAATTTTAGGGATGATGTACTATATATATATATATTATTATTTTATATATAGTGCATGATATTATTAAAAACACATTAAAGTAGCGTGCTAGATAACAACCAAATTTTATCAAAACGATAAAAAAATGTGTATCGTCATTTTATAAAAAATCGTACATCTAGCGTTAAAGATTTTATAGATACACAAAAAATTTTATATTAATATTAAATTTTCATTATTACGAACCTAATTTGTATATTTTGTGTCATTGTAACACCTAAATCACAAGTGTCGATATTACAAGCTTCGTTTTCTGATGATGCAAAACTTTTGACCGCCACTGTATTTTCAATAAAAATTTTATACTAGAATTAATTTGTTTCAATAGACACTATGCGACCAAGAGATTACTTTCTATTTTATTTTATTTTGTCGAAAAATAAATCAAAAAATTTTTTTTTTAAATTGTTAATATTTTCTAAATCTTTTCTTACGATATAATTTTTATATAATTTGACTTTTCATTAGTGTTCTAAATACAATCATTATGCAATTCAAGAGTAATTTTGCTTTTAAATTATCTAATGGTTAGCAACGTTAGTTACTCCGAATAAATCTATATACGTCTGATAAGCTTGCGTGTTACTGAGTACAATGGGCGTTACGGTATTATATAATATGTAACATTTAACAAAAGAACGTATCCAGATGTTTATGGTACACAACTTATGATATATATGCTGTACATTTTTTTCAATCACTTCTTCAAAGTTTACAAAGTAGAAATGTTAAAAGGAATATTATTTATTCTCTTTGCCATTCCCTTGAGATTTTTTCCAAACAACGTCGATGCAGACTCAACTGCATGCTACAATTATTTGGTTCAACTTACAAATGAATTTAATCATTATTATAATATATGTTATAATTATGAGCAAACTCCCGGATGCCCATGTTCCGAATATTACATTAATCAATTGGCTTGGTAAGAGAAACAGTAGAAATGTACTTTTTTTGAAGTATATACATGTACAGTAACTCTTATTAAAATATCGATACTTCTTTAAGTCTCTATAGCTGTAGTATAAAATACAATCAAAAGGTTGAGAGCCTTCAAGGTAATATCACAATTTTATGACTCTTTGTATCTACTACGAGCGTTTGGGGATTTACGTATTATGTTAATACCCATACAAATTTAAAAAACTATGTAATACATAGGGGCTGTGGATCAATGTAACGAGGTTGGCGCATCACATACAGAATATGTGCCATTAAGTGTTCCCACAAATCCGACTTGTCCTAGTGATCTGCTAAGTGATTCACCTAACTCCACTTCTAACTCCACTTCTAACTCCAATTCAAATTCTACGTCAAACTCCGCATCATATGTTTGGCACCCTGAACTCAGGAATGCTTTGCTATTCTGGCAAGAAAACAAGATTGAGATAATAGTTATCGGGTCATTTATCTTACTATATTCGCTTATTATATGTAATCAAAACAAAAATTTTCGTAAGAATACTGTCGTGATGTGTCTCAATACGTGCGGGTTCGTGTCCCACTGTTTCTTTTTGAAGCGTTTGCATGATAGCGGTCCGATTTCGTACTTCTGGGTTAGCGTAGCCATAATGATACTCTATTATCCGGTAGGAATTATTATAACATACTTTGCAAGAAAAGAGGCGCTTAGAACAAAAGAGGCGGTGGAACGGGGATATGAACTTACCTACGTCATAGCACTTTTATTCACCACAGAGTTATGGTCAACTAAGTTGCCCCTACTGATCATTTGTGTCGATAAAATTCCAAACCTTGTTGTCACCATTCTATATACGATATTTTACGATTTTACATGTTCGGGATTTGTGCTTATGATGAAGAGTTTTTTTACGCTTATAATGAGTCTCTATGATACCTACAAATCACGACGACTTACAATAGACGAGAAAAAAAGGAAACAAGATGAAATTGTTTACTTTTACAATGTCTTCATTAGATTTTTCGTTCGCATTAGATTGTGTTTTTCTAGTTGATTGAAAATTTTTATACTAAATTCAGTGCTACGTATATTTGGAAGAATTTTTACGTCTATTTTATTAATTTATTGATATCAATTTATATTATAATTATAATATTATTTTTTTCATGTATTTTATTTTGAAAAAATCGACACAATAAATCGAGTTAGCTGCTAAAAAAATAATCATCGCAAAACAAGCGTTATACTCTTGGCTTAGTACATGGTGATCATATTTAGTTAAGCACATAAGTATGTACGTATCCAAGAACTATACGTACTGTATTCTATATATATCATAATCTATAATTATAAGAGCTTGAAAGTTGTTTATAAAATATATTGCACGGTAAGGATTTGTGCTCAATAACATTAAAGATAAGTATTATTTTCTGTAAAAAAAAAATTCCAATAGTATCTTATAGCTATAGACTACATATTGAAAGTTAGACCAGAAACTTTTTATGCAACTTTATTATTGATACAAATTTATTTCAACTTCATAACTGTTAAAAAGACAAAAGTTCTACTTTTATCTATTTTAATCGAATTTGATTATTAATGCTAATATAAGCAAATATTAATTCATCGATACAGCAAAATACAGTATACTAATTATCTTGTTCCATTTCATATTACTTTCCGGCTATAAATATATAATGTTGGTAAATCATCTTTTTAAATTATCCGGAATACTCATTTTCAATATTCTTAAACTTTTAGAAAGTTCTGATAAAAAATTTTTTTTTGTTTTGAAAAATTTCATCAATTTCTTTCTGATGGGTACTTTTCTTTACAGTATATCATTGGACCTTCACTAATATGCGATCAACTGTAAATAACTAAATTAAAAATCTTTGAGCCTTGAGTTTCGCTGACTTAAGAATATGAGATTTCCTAGAAAAAAATCCCACATAACTATTCAAATGCATTTTTTTTAAAAAAAAAAATACTATTCTATAGCACATAAGGAGCAACATATGGTAAAATTTTACAAATTTCGTCGCCAAAGCACTTCGGAATTTGCGAAAAGAATAAAGAAGATATCAAGTAAAAATTTACGCTCATAAATCGAAAATGAATAATTGGGTTAATATCCTTTTCTTAGGAATGTTAGAAACAAATTTAGATAATATGCAAGTGAAAACTTACTCCCGGTAAGATGGTCATAAATAATATGATTAAGGCTCTTTTTTTCGGAATTTGTAAAACAAATTTAGGAATTATGCAAGAAAACGGCAATTGAAAATATAATAATTTTATATTCATTTCTTATGAAAACCTTACTATAAATCTAGAATATTATTTTATAATCAGGTTGAATGTTTAAAAATTAGATAATTGAGAGTACATACTGTATTTGTAATATAACATGACCTAAATACGTATTTATTGATTAATTTCCTTGTATTTTCAGTTATCACCGCAATTGTCTGATTTTTGAAATTTACAGTGAAAGTCGCAAGAATTTTTTTACAACATAGTATTAATTATTTAGTTAATTTAAACGTTTATTTATTTTTATCTCGAACAATTTATACAGATCATTAAGTATATTTTAATTTTACAAATTTATACAGTATATTCGTAAAACACAAAGAAAACTGACTTATAAAACTGCATAGCAAAAATATTAACTACGAGGTTATGGGAACATTGGTTTATTTCGAAGCAATTGTTTAATCATAAAGTTTAAATAAAAGATAGATTCGAATAATTTATATGTGCCATTGAAATATGCTGTCGTTTACCACGCCTCCGCTTTATTATTGCGTTTACATTATCATTTTTTATATAATTTAGATAATTCCAATTATTTAAAATATGAAAAAGAAAGAAAGAAAAGAAATAAAATTAAAAATGTCTTTAAATAAAAGAAAAAAAATACATACTTTATATATGGAGTCATATTCATATTCCTTTTATTTAGCATTTATTTCGCTGGCCCCCTCTATTTTCTTGCACTCTCCCTTTTCTGCTAGATCATTTTAAAAAATGTCGATGAATTTATACAGTATGTTTATAATGTAAATTGCCCACCATTTTATCAACTTTATTTATCATTAGTATAAATATGAATTTATATTTTTACATTTTATTTACTTTTTTTATTTATAGAGGAATGGTAATATAATATTATTTGGAGGAATTTGTGCAAATAGTGTATATCACTTTCTGAGAACTTTCGAGAAAAGAAAGGGACCGGCTTTGTATCTTTTACAGGAAGGAAATAATAATTTTTACAGAAAATAATAAAAAAAATCTATAATAGTCAAATTATTTTCTATATCATCATAATTTTGCACAGGGCTCAGTTAAGATTAGAGATATTGTTTATAAATTTTATTTTGAAAAGATATTGATTTGGAAAAATATAGTGGATCAAGCACAGCTGAGTTACATGTAAACAAAATAATGAGAAATTGTAAGTAATTCGTCTAATAATGTTTCAAAAACTTGATGGTCAATAAATTATGTAATAAGAAAACTGGGATAAAATATAATGTGTTTGTATACATTGGAATTACTTTATCACTTATATGAAAGAAATAACATTACATACTGTATCTTTCGAGACAAAAAAAAAAAAAAAAAAAAAAAGAAAAAAGAAAAAATTGGAAAATTGGAAAAGTTTATACATATCTGCAAAGGTATTTCCTATGATCGGGAAAATTTTTCTAAACAAGTTATATATTTAGTTTGTATCTGGAAAATTTATGGGAGATATAGTATTTCGATTATCAAAGACAGTTAATTAATTAACCAATCGGATGATTTATAATTTTATTTTATTTTATTATTTAAAAACGAAAACAATGATAGGATGTAGATAAATAGTGTTTTTGGTTTTTAATGATTATTTATTTTATAATGTGTTATGAAAGTTGAGATAAGTATAATTACTACGATGGAGAGTTGTATATGGAGCGGTATATATGCAATGTGTGTATGCGAGAGATTTTGTAATGAAAAAATGTGGTACGAATAGAAGCGGGTGATGCTTTGAAATATTAAGGATAATATATTGTAAATGTGAGGGTAGTGAGGTGTACATGGATGAAGGGAGATTAGGAGAGAAATTCGATGATACGATGTACCGGTATTTTTTATTTTTATGCGGAAAAATATGTTGGATGCGTATTAGAGGTATATTAGTCGGTGCATTTATGGCAAATGAGCATGCAGAGTGCTATGTATATTGATGATGAGAAAATAATAAATACGGCATTATGAAAGGTAATTGTGTAATGACGTGTTGTTTGAATTTAATATTTTATGTCAATGGATTTAATATAGATTTTGAAAATTAAAGTATTAAGATTTAGGAATCTAAAGATAAACACTAATTATTTATTATATTATGCTTGTAATTAAAAAGATCTTAGCATTTTATATCAAACTATTTCTCCCAGATCCCAAATTCTTAAAATTTTCCTTTTTAGGCAATTTTTTCTAAGTAACAAAAAGCATACGGAAGAGATGAGTTCTCATAGAACCCAACACAAGACCCAATTACAATGAGAACATTTTGGCAAGAGGTAATGCAGAAAATCTCTGAAAAGAAACCAAAACAAATAGCAAAATGACAATTGCTCTTAACAAGGGTAAAGAACCTGAAAAACCAACAGAAACCATCCAAAACCTTCCCACAAATGAACAACCAAGCCAACAACATATAAACAACCATTAGAGCTCTCTAAACCTCATTGAAAAGTTGCAAACAGCTCAGCAACATATACATGGAGCGACCAGGTAGAAGAAACAATAACTACTGAAAACAGACCACATCCTAAGAAAACATGCAGGGAGAGATATTATACACTCAACAACACATCCACACACCAGTTAGAATAAATAACTCTGATATAGAAATGAATATCAAAGGAGAGGAAGAACTGGACCAAGACCTACACAAGGAAGATATTGAAGAAACATGAAAAGTCCAAGGTAATCAAAGAAAAAGCCATCCAAGATCAAGATTACCATTCGATAGGATGACATGATATGGAAAGGAAAGATTCAAGGCAGGAATTGTAGCAAGTGAAATTTTGGTATGATCGCAGTACCAAAAAAATCACATATTTAACCAAAGTTCTAGAAAGTCCATAAAGTTTTTTAAACATTTGCAAAGAAAAAAAAAATAGAGCACTGATCATATCACTGCCTTATTTGGGGAGGAACAGGCTGCAGAGGAAGCATACAACTTAATCTTACCAAACACAAATCAGAAAAGATTGACACATAACAATCACACTGTCTGAATCTAAAAAAAAATAATATCAGGATATAGGATATTTTCCTAAACAAATTCATAGAGGTACAACAAATCTTTGCTAGATATGAATAAATTACTAATATATCAATACACACAAGTCAAATGTAATATTAAAGGCCAAAAAAGTCAAACAAAGTTCAGAATTTTTACTGTGATTACGTGACTGATGATCATGATGTGACCGAAGCTTATGCGAAACAATCAATTGCTGACTATCACTATACCTCTTGCAAGTTAGAAGAATGCACAAACAATCTATTCGCATCAAAAAGGTAAAAAACTATGAGCTGAGGTAATAGAAAATTAGACGACTAAGAAGCAATTTATACATGAT